TGCCGCTCTGAATCGGAATCCGTAGGCAGCTCAAATCGGCACACCGGGCATGTGTTGTTCTGCAAACAAATAAACCCTAAACCCTAAACCCTAAACCCTCATAAACCCTAATAAACCCTTATAAACCCTAATAAACCCTTATAAACCCTAATAAACCCTAATAAACCCTAAACCCTAATAATAAAGCCTACTAATAAACCCTAACAAACCCTAAACCCTAATAAACCCCAATAAACCCTAATAAACCCTAAACCCTAATCCTAAACCCTAAACCCTAATAATAAGCCCTAATAAACCCTAATGAACCCTCAACCCTAATAATAAGCCCTAATAAACCCTAACCCTAAACCCTAATCCTAAACCCTAAACCCTAAACCCTAAACCCTCACCCTTTCAAGCCAGGGTACGATGCAGTGCTGATGAAAGCAGTGTATGCAATGATGCGGATCTAACGAGAGAGAAGCAACTTCATCTCCTGCAGCAAACTCTTCGTGGCATATCGAGCAGGCGTCCATACCGCCTGCAGCAGCAGCAGCAGCAGCAGCAGCAGCAGCAGCAGCAACAGGAGTAGCAGCAGGAGTAATAGGAGTAGCATAAAAAGCAGCAGCAGAAAAATCTGCATATAAAAATCTACACTGCTTCAGCAACGGTGAATAAACCTAGTGCTAATGCTGCTACTGCTGCTGCTGCTGTTGTTGTTGCTTCTGCTGCTGCTGCTGCTGCTGCTTCTGTTGCTGCTGCTCACGTGCTTCCTCTTCAGTAAGAACTCGACGCGGTAAGGAAGCAACAGCAGCAGCACTTGTACGCCGCTGTGTACGCCCTTGCCTGCAGCAGCAGCAGCAGCAGCAGCAGCAGCAGTAGTAACAGCAGCAGCAGCAACAGTAGCAGCAGCAAGGGTATATTTACCAGCAGCGCCACCACTCGTTAGCAGCTAGCAGCAGCAGCAGCAGCAACAGCAGCAAAAAGGAGACAACACACAGCAGCACCCACAGCAGCAGCAGCAGCAGCAGCACCCACAACAGCAGCAACAGCCGCAGCAACGACAGCAGCAACAACAGCGAAAGCAGCAGCAGCAACAACAGCAGCAGCAACAGCAACAACTACAACACCACCAACAACAGCAGCAGGAACAGCAGCAGCAGCAGCAGCAGCAGCAGCAGCAGCAGGAACAGCAGCAGCAGTAGCAGCAGCAGCAGCAGCAGCAGGAACAGCAGCAGCAGCAGCAGCAGGAAGCCTCACTGGTTGTTTTGTGCTTCTACAATCATCTGCAGCAAATTACGAACAGCAGGGTCTTCTTCAAATACACTCAGCATCTCACTGCAACACAACACGCAGCAAACACCTGCTGCTGCTGCTGCTGCTGCTGCTGTTGCTGCTGCTGCTGCTGCTGCTGGTGTTGCTGGTGCTGCTGTTGAATTGAGTGGTGGTGCTGTGAGGTGCCTCTGCTGCATCTATAGCAGCAAGCAATTCTGTTGCTGCTGCTGCTGCTGCTGTTGCTGCTGCTGTTGCTGCTGCTGCTGCTGCTGCTGCTGCTGCTTACTAAATGCGCTGCTGCACTGCTCGAACTTCTTCATCGATATGAATTGGCTGCCACGGTTCCCTCTGTTGGGTAGCTGCTGGTGCTGCTGCTGCTGCTGCTTCTGGTGCTGCTGCTGCTGCTGCTGGCGCTGCTGCTGCTGCTGCTGCTGGTGCTGCTGCTGCTGCTGCATGGCGCATCAGTTGCGACAGCATACCGCCTATTGCTTGTGGGTCTCCTGCTCCTGCTGCTGCAGGTGCTGCTGTTGCTGTTGTTGCTGCTGTTGCTAGATCTGCTGCAGCAGCAGCATCCATCACTTCTACAAAGCCAACAGCACCGCAGAGAGTACAGACAAATTCTCCATCTGCTGCTGCTGCTGCTGCTGCTGGCACTATCCTGCTGCATGCGTGACAGAAGGAGACTGTGCTGCTGCTGCTGCTGCTGCTGCTGCTGCTGCTGGGGGCGCCATCGTTCCTGTTGCTGCTGTCTTCCCTGCTGCTGCCGTCGCTGCTGCCACCGCTACTGCTGCTGTTGTTGCTGCTGCTGTTGTTGTTGCTGCTGTTGCTGCTGGCGCTCAAGTTGGGGAAGCTGCCGGCGTCGCTGCTGCTGCTGCTGCTGCTGTCGCTGCTGCTGCTGCTGCTGCTGTCAGTGTTGCTGCTGCTGTTGCTGCTGCTGCCGCTGCTGTCAGTGTTACCGCTGCTGCTGCTTCCATTACCTACAGATGAGAGCAGCTCCTGCTGCACATTGCTGCTGCTGCTGCTGCTACTGCTGTCTGTGCTGTTGCTGCTGCTGCTATTGCTGCTGCTGCTAGGCGCTTCGTCCGCGCTTAAGTCGCTAGGGGGAGGAAGATCCATTATGCTGCTGCTGCTGCTGCAGCTGTTGTTATTGCTGCTGCTGCTGCGGCTGCGGCTGCTGCTGCGGTGTTGTATCTGCAATTTGTGCAGCACTGCGTAAGTTTATAGATTTGCTGCTGCTGCTGTTGCTGCTGCTACTACTGTTGCTGCTGTTGCTGCTGGAGAGAAAATAATAGCAGCATTTATATTAAAGTACCTATCAGCGCGATGCGCATGCAGCAGCAGCAGCAGCACCACCAGCAGCAGCAGCAGTAGCAGTAATAGAACAGACAAAGCAATCTTTTTGTTGCTGCTGCAGCAGTTGCTGCATCTTCAGGTGTATATACACCTTAAATGAAAAACCTAAACAGAAAAAAATCTAGATGCTGCTGCTGCTGCTGCTGCTGCTGCTGCTCTTACAAAGTCTGCTGCTGCTGTCTGCTGCTGCCGTCTGCTGCTGCTGCTACCGCTGCTGCTGCTGCTGCTGCTGCTGCTGCTGCTGCTGCTGCTGCGGGCCCCGAGGACAGCGTCGGTGTTCTTACCTGAGGCATCTCCTCTCTGAATTATTTTTATTATATTTCTTTTTAAAATTAAAATTGAACTCTTCAGCAACAAAGAAGGTAGACATACACTCCGCCGTTTGCCTGCCACCCCAGCAGCAGCAGCAGCAGCAGCAGCAGCAGCAGGAAGGGCAGCAGCTGCAGCAGCGGTAGCAGAAGCAACAGGAGGAGCAACAGCCTCCTTCCGCAAGAAGCAGAAGAATTAACAGCTGCAGCAGCAACAACAGCAACAGCAACAGCACCAACAGCAGCAGCAACAACAGCAGCAGCAGCGGCAGCACCACCACCACCACCACCAGCACCAACAGCAGCAGCAGCAGAAGCAGCAGCAGCAACAACAACAGCAGCAAAAACGGCCGCAACAGCAGCACTCACAACAGCAACAGCAGCAACAGGAAGACAAGCAACATCAGCGACAGCAACAACAACAGCAACAACAGCAGCAGCAACAGCAGCAGCAGCAGCAGCAGCAGCAGCAGCAAGAGACGATGTCGGAGAGTGCCAGCGAATCGGTTGGCTCTCAGCAGCAGCAAAAGAGGCTAGAGCAGCAGCAGCAACAACAACAACAGCAGCAGCACCACCAAGAGGCGACCCACCTGCAGCAGCACCACCTGCAGCAGCAGCATTTACAGCAGCATCATTTGCAGCAGCAGCATTTGCAGCAGCAGCAACTGCTGCAGCAGCAGCAGCAACTTGATCCTTCGCGTGCTGCTGGAGTTTCGTTTACCTGCAGCCACCCGGTGAATCGCAGCAGCAGCAGCAGCAGCGGCGGCAGCAACAGCAACACTGCAGCAGCAGCTGCAACCGACGCAGCAGCAAATGCAGCAGCAGTAGCAGCAGCAGCAGCAGGAGCAGAAGCTGCTGCTGCAGCAGGACCTGGTTCGGGTGTATGCAGTTTGGGTGGTGGGAACTGCTTATTGAATAGTTCGCTTCAGCAGCAGCAAGTGCAGCAGCAACAAGTGCAGCAGCAGCAAGTGCAGCAAGTGCAACAGCAGCAAGTGCAGCAGCAGCAAGTGCAGCAGCAGCAGCACATTGCTTCTTCTTCTGTTGCAGCAACTGAAGGGTCGCCCCCTAGCAGCCCTCGCTCTACTTTCTCTTCTGTGCATTCATACGGTGTTGAATTGTTCTCTCCAGGTGTAGTTGCTGCTGCTGCTGCAGGTGGTTTAGACGGTAGCTGCAGCAGCAGGAGCTGCAGCAGCTGCAGCAGTTGCAGCAGCAGCAGCAGTTGTGTACGTGGTGGTGTACCATTAGGAGCTGCAGCGGTAGCAGCAGCAGCAGCAGCAGCAGAAGCAGCAGCAGCAGCAGCAGCAGCAGGTGCAGCATCAGGCACATCATCATCATCAGCAGCAGCAGCAGCAGATGATGAATGCATGCATGAAGTTGCTGTCTCTCTTCCTGAGCTTTCTTTCTCTTGTGCACACTTCGTCGCATATAAACATTATCGAGAGAAGCTGCATGGACATAACTATACAGTAGCAGCAAAACTTATCGGCAGCTTAAACCCTGATGGTTATGTTCTTGACTTCTCAGAAGTTAAGAGAGCTCTTCGTGATGTCTGCAAGGTATTTAATCCTGCTGCTGCTGCTGCTGCTGATGATGATGATGATGATGATGATGCTGCTGTGCTGCTGCTGATGGTGCTTGTATGCTGCTGCTGCTGCTGCTGGTTCTGCTGCTGCTGCTGTTTTTGCTGCTGAAAGATTTGTGCTGGGTTTCTCTCAGGGCTCATGCTGCTGCTGCTGCTGCTGCTGCTGCTGCTGCTCGTGCTGCTGCAGCTGTTGTTATCGCTGCTGCTGCTAAATAATAATAATAATAATAATTAATAATAATAATTAATAATAATAATAATATTAATATTAATATAATGTGTTTAGACTTTAAACGAGCACGCAATATAATATATATATATATATACATATATAGAAATGTATATATTTTTGTATATATTTATTTAACCTCTAATAAAAGCAAGTAAATAATAATAAACAACAATAAACAATAATAAATAATAATAAATAATAAAATATTATTATTAACATCTGTACAGACTCTAAACGAGCATACAATAATACCCGTTCGAAGCGACGTCCTCGAAATTACAAAAGAAGGCAACAACATAAAAGTTAGATGTCAGGACGGTGCTGAGTTCCAGATCCCTAGATCCGATTGTCTTGTGAGTCTTCATTAGGCTTTATGAGGGTTTAGAAGGGGTGTATTAGGGTTTACGAGGGTTTAGAAGGGTTTATTAGGGTTTATGAGGGTTTATTAGGCTTTATTAGGGTTTATAAGGGGTGTTTTAAGGTTTTTTAGGGTTTATGAGGGTTTATAAGGGCTTTTAGTGGGTTCGATCCGATTGTCTTACGAGACTTCAGTAGGGTTTATTAGGGTTTATGAGGGTTTATGAGGGTTTATGAGGGTTTATAAGGGTTTATGAGGGGCTGTCAGGGTTTATTAGGGTTTGTTAGGGTTTGTTGGGGTCTATAGGGGTTTTTTAGGGTTTTTGTGAGGGTTTGTGAGGGTTTATGAGGGTTTATGAGGGTTTATGAGGGTTTATGAAGGTTAATTAGGGTTTATAAGGGTTACTTAAGGTTTATAAGGGTTACTTAGGGTTTATTCGGGTTCAGGGTTTAGGGTTTAGGGTTTAGGGTTTAGGGTTTAGGGTTTAGGGTTTAGGGTTTGTGCGCAGTGTCTGCCGATAGTGCATTCGACAGCTGAAGAGTTGAGTGCGTACATTTGGAATTGTTTGGTTGACAACTTAACAGAAACCCTTTTAAAGAAGAGAGGGATCAGGGTGCGTTCATTAGGGTTTAGGGTTTAGGGTTTATGAGGGTTTATGATGGTTTATGAGGGTTTATGAGGGTTTATTAGGGTTTATTAGGGTTTATGAAGGTTTATTAGGGTTTATGTAGGGTTTATATATTGGGTTTATTAGGGTTTATTAGGATCTAGTAGGGTTTAGGGTTTAGGGTTTAGGGTTTAGGGTTTGTGTTTTTTGTGCAGTGTTTGGAGGTGACGGTCTCCGAGAAGGCGACGCAAGCTGCGGTGTACAGACGGCGCATCTGAAGAAGGGTTTAGGGTTTAGGGTTTAGGGTTTGAGGAGGCTTTAAACCCCCAGACTATACCATTGCTGCTGCAGCTGCTGCTGCTGCAGCCGCTGCTGCTGCAGCCGCTGCTGCAGCAAAACCTGGTGCTGCTGCTGCTGCAACAGGCACAGCAGAAACCTGATGCTTTGATATCTTTTTGTTGTTTTTCTCTAGGGTTTAGGGTTTAGAGTTTAGTAGGGTTTATTATCAGTTGTTTTGCTTCATTAGTAAACCGTTGTTATCTGCATCCAACTAACTCTCACGAGGGTTTAGGGTTTAGGGTTTATCAGGATTTAGGGTTTAGGGTTTAGGGTTTAGGGTTTATTAGGGTTTAGGATGTATTGTTAGGATTTGGGGTTTATTGTTAGGGTTTACGGTTTCCGGTTTAGGGTTTATTAGGGTTTATTAGGGTTTATTAGGGTTTATTAGGGTTTAGGCTTCATTAGGGCGTATTAGGGTTTATTGGGGTTTAGGGTTTATTAGGGTTTAGGGTTTAGGGTTTAGGGTTTAGGGTTTAGGGTTTGGGTTTAGGGTTTAGGGTTTAGGGTTAGCGGGGACGGCTTTGCCTATGGAAATGAAGATTAAAACTAAATGAAAACTTAAACAAAATAAATAAATAAAAATAAATAATTAAATAATTAAATAAAATAAATAAATAAATACAAATAAATAATTTATTTATATAAACAAAGAGGGGTCACCTATATTGAAATACAGCGCGGGGTGTATGCGCAGCTCAGCTGCAGCAACAAAAGGCGAAAATTTGCTGTTTTAAATTGAAATAAATTAAAATAAATAGATGCAATTAAATTATTTATTTAATTTCATTTAATAATTAATATTTTAAATACAATTTTATGCTTTTTTTGTTTACAAACAGACCTGGGGGCTGTGCTGCAGCTCCAGCCTTAACTCTTAAGATTACTAGCGTAGAGTAATATTTTATTGTTTATCTGCTGCATATATTTATATATATTCAATAATATATATATCTTTTTGCTCTTCTATAAAGTATAGAATGGGGGTTTAGGGTTTAGGGTTTAGGGTTTAGGGTTTAGGGTTTAGGGTTTAGGGTTTAGCCTCGATGCCCGCGGAGGTCCAACCCACTAGGGAATTTAGGGTTTAGGGTTTAGGGTTTAGGGTTTGGGTTTGATGTTTGCTGTCTAGAAGATCTTAACCCCTATAACCCTAAACCCTAAAATCATTAGCGAAACCTCAACCCTAAACCCTAAACCCTAAACCCTAAACCCTCAATAACTCCAAGTATAGCATTTTTTCCCCTTTAAAACAAATCCAAGACGAAAGACCCTCACTTTTAGGGTTTAGGGTTTAGGGTTTAGGGTTTAGGGTTTAGGGTTTAGGGTTTATAGAAGATGACGACATCAGGAAGAAGTGCTGCTCTTTCCCCTTCTTCTGGGCGTCCCTCTATGGCAGCAGCAGCAGCAGCAGCAGCAGCAGCAGCAGCAGAATCAGCAGCAGAAGAATCATCTTCCTCCTCCTCCTCCTCTGCAGCAGCAGCAGCAGCAGGAGGAGCAGCAGGAGCAACAACAACAGCAGCAACAGGAGCAGCACCAGAATCATCAGGAGCAGCGGAAGCAGCAGAAGCAGGAGGAGCAGCAGCAGCAGCAGCAACAGCAGCAGCAGCAACAGCAGCAGCAGGAGGAGGAGAGACTTATTGTCTTCCTTCTGTTACAATATCCTGCAGACATGTCTTTGGCTGTACCCCTTCAATTCGAGGGGCTATTCATTTTATCGACAATCTTAATATTTGTTATGCTGCCGGGAGACTAATTGTTTTATTTAATATACAAACAAAACAACAAAAAGTCATCCCCGTCTCTGCTGAAGGTCTCGAAATCCTCACCACTGCCATCTCCCCCAATAAACGGTGACCATTCGACACTCTAGGGTTTAGGGTTTAGGGTTTAGGGTTTAGGGTTTAGGGTTTAGGCTTTAGGGTTTAGGGTTTAGGGTTTATAGAAGATGACGACATCAGGAAGAAGTGCTGCTCTTTCCCCTTCTTCTGGGCGTCCCTCTATGGCAGCAGCAGCAGCAGCAGCAGCAGCAGCAGCAGCAGAATCAGCAGCAGAAGAATCATCTTCCTCCTCCTCCTCCTCTGCAGCAGCAGCAGCAGCAGGAGGAGCAGCAGGAGCAACAACAACAGCAGCAACAGCAACAGCATAAATAAACAAATAAATAAAACAAACAAACAAACAAACAAACAAATAAATAAATAAATAAATAAATAAATAAATAAATAAATAAATTAAATAAATAAACAAAATTTTATGCTGTATGTGTGCAGATATTTGTTAGTATCAGAGAAGTCGTTGAAGAGGGGTTTGATAACAGTAATAGATTTGATCAGTTTAAAGATCAAGAGAATATTAGCATTTAGTAATTGTTTAAACTCTTTATTTATTGCTTTATCGTTCTCACAAAATAATAAACTTTTCGTCGCCGTCTCTGCTCATCCGGACTTCACCGTCGTTCTCTCCTCCTGGGAGCGAGCAAAAGTTATTGCATGCTATAAGGTACTTATTTATTTATTTATTTAGTTTGTTTGTTTGTTTATTTGTTTATTTATTTATTTATTTAGTTAGTTTGTTTGTTTAGTTTGTTTGTTTGTTTGTTTATTTATGTAGTTTGTTTGTTTGTTTTTTTGTTTATTTATTTATTTGTTAAAGAGCAAAAGTTATTGCATGCTATAAGGTATTTATTTATTTATTTATTTATTTAGTTTATTTATTTATTTATTTATTTATTTATTTAGTTTGTTTGTTTAGTTTGTTTGTTTGTTTATTGTTTGTTTTTTTGTTTATTTGTTTGTTTATTTAATTTATTTGTTTGTATATTTATCGTTTTTCTTCGTTTTGTTGTTCTGGTTATTACATTATATTTATATTATATTATATCATATTTATATTATATTATATTATGTTATATTTATATTATATTATATTATATTTATTTGTTGTTGCTGTTTTACTCGTTGTTGTGTTGTTAGTGTTATTGAGGGTTTAGGGTTTAGGGTTTAGGGTTTAGGGTGGTTGTTGTCTTGTTAAAAAAAACTAAAATTTAAATCTTTTGCTGCTGCTGTTTCTGCTGCTGCTGATGTGCTCCTGCTGCTGCTGCATCTACTGCTGTTATTGCTGCTGCGGCTCTTGTTGCTGCTGCTGCTGTTGTTGCTGCTGCTGCTGTTGCTTCTGCTGCTGTTGCCTATACCACACCCCTAAACCCTAAACTCTAAACCCTAAACCCGAATCTCAGCAACAACAATTACTGCTTTTGCTGTTGCTGTTGCTGCTGCTGCTGTTGCTGTTGCTGCTGCTGCTGCTGCTGCTGCTGCTGATTCTTTTGCTGCTGTTACTGTTGGTTTTGCTTTTGCTGCTGCTCTTTCTGCTGCTGCTTTGCTGTATTTTTTGCTGTTGCTACCGTTTTTGCTGCTGTTGCTGCTGCGTTTGCTGCTGTTGCTGCTGCTGCTGCTGCTGCTGTTGCGTTTGCTGCTGCAGCTAAATGTAAGTTCTTTATCTTATTGCTTCTCTTCTTTTAATCCAAGCGATCCGTCTATTATTTGTTTAATCGGAGAAGGGATAAACAAATTTTTAAAGCTTCAGCAATCGCAGTTAATTCAGCAGCAAAATTATTTATTAAAACGACAAAAACAAAAATTTGTTTGTGCTGCTTGGGTAGACGATAAACTCGTTCTAGCGACTGAAGAAGGTAAATTGTTTATTTATTTATTTATTTATTTATTTATTTGTTTGTTTGTTTGTTTGCTTGTTTGTTTGTTTGTTTGTTTGTTTATTTGTTTAGCTGTTTATTTAGCTGTTTATCTATGTATATATATATACATATAAACTCGTTCTAGCAACTGAAGAAGGTAAATTGTTTATTTGTTTATTTATTTATTTGTTTATTTATCTGTTTGTTTATCTATTTATTTATTTATTTATTTGTTTATTTGCTTATTTATTTATTTATCTGTTTATTTATTTATTTATTTAA